AGCAATCGCCAACAGGCGGCAGCGAGCGGACGGGCGAGCACGGCAAGCAAACCCGCCGGGCATGCCACGAGCTGTCAGGCCAGCAGGGTGCCACCCAAGAGGCACCCAAGACGGCCCGAGAGGGCCCTCAGAGCCCCCCCGGGAGGCCCAAACGAAGGCCGAAGAGGCTCCGAAACGGCCCCCACGAAGCCTTCAGTGCCTTCAGAATTCCCTCCAGGAGCGGGGGAGCGGACGAGAGGCGACAGGCATATCGCAGGCAAAAACGCCCCAAGAGATCCCCAAACGGCCCCCACGAAGCCCTAAGTGGCCTCAGAATTGCTTCCAGGAGGGGGGGAGCGGACGAGAGGCGACCGGCATATCGAAGGCACAAAAGAACAATGTTGGACGCTCCGAGGGCCTTCGATGTTTCTCCGTTGGGGAGAGTCGTCGTAGGATCGACGATTGCCGACCGAGGGCAGCGAATCCAGTGGAGGCCCAAGAGGCCCCCAGGAGCCCAAAAGAGATCCCCAAGAGGTGCCACGGGGCTTAAAAACTGCTTCGAAGCGAGGGGGGCGGACGAGGGGACCGCCTCAGGAGGTTTTGGACGGTTTTGGGCCTCAAAATCGTCCGCTTTACGACGGTTTTGGAAGGATGTTGGCCTTCTCGCCTTTTCCGCTTTCCGACGCTCGAAGACGGCCCAAGAGGCCTCCAAGAGCGCCCCAGAACGGCCCAAGAGGTTTCCAAGAGCGCCCCAAGACAGCCCAAGAGGGCACCAAGACGACCCAAGAGACGCTCAAGACGGCCCACGAGGGCCCGAAGACAGGCCCAAGAGGCGGCCAAGAGGGGGACCACGGACCGAAAATCCGAGCCTTCCGCCCCAAGAGGGCGCCAGGAGGCCCAAACAGGCCCCCAAGAGGCCCCAAGGGGCCGCCAAGAATCACCCGAAGAGGCCCAGGAGGCTCCCAAGGAGCCCAAACGAGGCCCCTACAGAGGCCCCAACAGCTTCCAAAATGGCCCCGAAGAGGCCTCGAGCCCGCCTCCGAGCTTCCTCGCCGCGAGGGTGCCAACACGGCCCCAGACCGGCCCAGGACGGCCCAAGGCGCGCTCAAGACGGCCCAAGACGATTCCAAGACGGTCCCAGGAGGGTGCGCCCAGGACGGCCCAAGGACGCGCCCGTTCGGGGCCTCAAGACGGGCCAAGATGGCAAGAGAGTCCCAGCTGGCAAAAATCGTTAATTTTCCATTGTTTACTGTTACACCCTTTGCGTTTCCCGCCGTTTCGGCGGTCCGATGCACCAAGAGGCCCCAGAAAGTCCCAGGAGGGTCCGAGGAACCGCCCAGGAAGGCCCCAAGACGGGCCAAGACGGACCCAGCACAACCCAAGGCGCGCTGCGACGGCTCAAGACGGCTCCAAGACAGCCCCAAGAGGGTGCCAACACGGCCCCTGCTGGGCCCAGGACGGCCCAAGGAGGCGCACAGGAGGGGCCCAAGACGACTCCAAGGCGGCCTCCTCACGGTCCCAGACGGCTCCAAGACAGCCCCACGAGGACCCCGATGGGCCCAGGACGGCCTACGGACGCGCCCATGAGGGGCCCACGACGAACCAAGACGGCCCCATCAGGGCAAACGGCGCCCTCAAGACGGGCCTAGACGGCTCCAAGACGGCCCTTTGAGGGAGCCAACGCGGCCCCACACCCTTCGGGCGCACACTTGGGGGGGCTGGGAGCTTGCGACAAGTCTCCCACATTCATTGTCCTGCCCCATTCTGTTCGCCTGGAGGCCTCCTCCAACCCTGTGGGCGAACAAGAGGAATCCCAGCGGGACGCCAACCCTGGGGCCCGTGGGCCCCGCGCCGCTTGGGCAGAAGACGAACGCCGGGTCTGACAGGCCAGCTACCGCCCCCCTTTGCCCGATATGCTGTGCCATTCTGTTCCCCCAGGGGCCTTGGCAAACTCTTCGGGCCAAGCAGACCGGACCCCTGGGACAGCAGCCAATTGATATGACCCTGGGACCTCTCCGCATTCTTCGGACGAGCATCTGGGGGGCCCAGGAGATTCGGACATGTCTTCCCCATTCCTTGCCCTGTCCCGTTCTGTTCGCCCGAAGGCCTCCACAGACCCTCTGGGCGAACAGAATGGGACATGGCGAACAAACCCTCCCGTTGGCGGTGATGCGACTGGATCGCACCATCAAGGCGCGCCCGGAGGTGATGGCCGACCCAACAGCGGTTTCTCTTAAGAGTTCACTGGATTTCAAATTTTCTTGAAGCTCTCTTGGGCCCTCCCTGTAGATCCTTGCGAGCCTCCCCGGCGCTTTCGGTGGCTTTCCCCGATGGCCTCCCGAGCCCTTCCCCGAGCGCTCCTGAGACGCCTCAGATGGGCTTCGACTTCGACGCACATCCCCGAGAGACTTCGAAACTGTCCTCAATAGGAGGGGGTGAACGAGCAGTGCGCTGGGCCAAGCTGCTGCAGCGCTGCAAGAGCTCGGACACGAAGGCGCGGTCTCGCTGCCGCCGCCCGAGCCGCCGCCGTGTTTGTAGATTTTCGGGACAATCTGCGCCGTTCCTCCGAGAACCATTCCAGAAAGATGTCGTGGACGGAGTCCACGGGTCGGCCCTAGTCAGCTACACCGCTGGGATCAGCGCGTGCGAGAAGGGCGAGCAAGCGACCTAAGAGGAGACGAAGTGTTCGGCCACGCGCGCGCCAAGTCCTTTGGGAGACCCGTGTGCTCGTCGCTCTTCAATCCTCTTCCCTATTCGCTCCAAGCTGTGGAGCCCACTGCAATTGCTCATCGCCCCTCTCTCCTAGCTTCTTGCTCATCTCCCCTCACTCCTCCTCGCTCCTTTTTCCTGGTTCCTGGCACCTTGTGCACCGACATAGCCTCTCACGGCCTCGGAGTGGCCCGACGTGCCTCGAAGTCGGCCTCCATACAATCTTACCTCAAGACGCCTCTAGGCGGTAGGCGCAGCGAGCGGATGAGCAAGCAATGAAGCAAGCAGCAGCGAAATCAGGCGAGCAGGCCACGTGATGCAGGCCACCAGGCAAGCAATTTCGCTTGCAGGATTGCGGGCAGGACGTCAAATGCACAAGCGGTTCTGACCCTGGCATGCGAGCAAGCTTTCGTGGCCGTCGGGCGGATAATGATCTGATCCGGCTGCTTGCCGTTGGCGTAGTCCACAGGTCAGCCGCAGTCTATACTCTAACGCCGGGGGAGCCGCGTGCCAGAATGGCGGGGGACGCAGTGGCGCAAAACCGCCCTCGGGCGGGCCCTGACGGACCCCGGACGGCCCAAGAGGCCCCACGACAGCCCAAGAGGAGCCCAAGAGGGCTCCAAGAGCGGCTCAAGACGGCCCAAGACGGCCCCAAGGCAGCCCAAAAGACGCCCAATTGGCCCCAAGACGTCCCCAGAGGCTCCCAAGACGGCCCGGGAGGACCTCCCAGGAGAGCCCCAACAGGCCAAAATCTTCCCATTCCCTTCGGAAAACGCGCATCTGGGGCATTATCGTACTGTTCGTTTCCGACGCGTCCACGACGGCCACAGAGGCCCCCAAGATCGCCTTAAGATCCTCCCATGAGGGCCCCAAGACCGCCCACGACGACCCCAGGACGGCTCCTGAGGCGCCCCTGGCGGCCCACGTGGTACCCAAGACAGCCTCAAGAGCAGCCCAGGACGGCCCAAGACGACCCCCCGACGCTGCCCAGACTGCTCCAGAGACGCCCAAGGCGGACCCAGGCAACCCCCAGACGGCCCCGACAACGCCTCAGATGCCCTGCAGGGGGCCCAAGAGGCTTCCAAAACGCTCCAAGTGGGCTCCACGACGAGCCCTAAGAGAGTCCGAACAGCGAAACGTCGTCCCATTTCCTCGGGGAAACGTACATTTTGGCAGTTCCCGGGCTTGCCCTCTTCATAGCGTCCAAGACGGCCATACAAGGTCCCAAGATGGCCCTAGGACGGCTCCTGAGGAGCCCCTGGCGGCCCACGGGGCACCCAAGACAGCTTCAAGAGCGGCCCAGGACGGCCTTAGACGACCCCCAGACGGTGCCCAGGCTGCTCCGGAGACGTCCAAGACGGCCCCAGACAACCCTCAGACGGCCCCAGACCGCCTCCACACGGCCCAAAAGGCACCCGAGACAGCCCAAGCCCAGGAGGCTTCCAGGAGGCCGAAAAGAAGCGCTGAGAGGCTCCAAAACGACCCCCAGGGGCCCTAAGATCACGGCCCAATAAGCACCGAAGACAGCACCAATAGCAGCCAAAGACTGCCTAAGACGGCCACAGGCAGTCCCAACACGGCTCCCAGCGCACCATGGGCCTCTGATGCTTGTTTGGCGCTCCCTGCCAGATTTGGCCTCAAACTCCCTCGCCCTTTTTGTCGGTCTGGAGCCCTCTCCGCGGCCTCTTGGGGCCATGCCGTGTTTCGCTCTCCTGGTGGTCCAGAATCACCTCGGCCGACCCCGGAAGCGCGCGCGGCCGCCCAGGGCGCGTCGGGCGGGATTCTGGGTCGGCGGCGCGGTGGCCCAGAATCAGTCCCGCCGATTCTGGGCGGGCGGCCATTATGGAGCTATCTTGGAGGCGTGTTGGTGATCTTGGGGCCCCTTCAGAGGGCCCCCAGACGGCCCCAGAACGCCCCGAGAAGGTCGGACCCAACGCAACGACAAAGCCCGACCCGATCCCAAGGGAGCCCTTGAGCGCCCCAGGTGGGGCGTCCAGACGCTCCTTCGTCTTCTCGCTCAGCGATGTGTGGCAGACGAACATGACGCCATTCATCCTGATCGCCTTGCAGCAGCCCCCCTTCACCCCGCAAGTGGACGGTCCACAGGTCAGCCCTAGTCAGCTACAGCGCTGGGATCAGCGCGTGCGAGAAGGGCGATCAGTGGCAGCTGGCGCTTGCGCTGCTGAGCGAGATGCGGGAGGCGAAGCTGGAGCCCGACGTCATCAGCTACAGCGTTGGGATCAGCGCGTGCGAGAAGGGCGAGCAGTGGCAGCGGGCGCTTGCGCTGCTGAGCGAGATGCGGGAGGCGAAGCTGGAGCCCAACGTCATCAGCTACAGCGCTGGGATCAGCGCGTGCGAGAAGGGCGAGCAGTGGCAGTGGGCGCTTGCGCTGCTGAGCGAGATGTGGGAGGCGAAGCTGGAGCCCAACGTCATCTCTACTACATTGCAGGGCCCAGTGCGTACCAGAAGGGCGCAGGATCAAGTGACCAATAATCGCCCCGGGCTGGCCCCGGGCCGCCCTGGGAGGCCCCAAGACACGCCAAGGGAGCCCCAAGAGGCCCCCAAGACGGCCCCGGAGGGCCCCGGCACGCCCAGCGAGGGGCCCAAGACGCTCGAGATTGGCCCAAGACGGCTCCAGAGGCCTCCAAGACGCCCCAAGAGGCCTCCCAAGAAGGCCCCGAGCGGCAGAAACCGTCGATTCCCATTGTGTTTTTCGATGGTTTCGGCCTCCTCGCCTTTTCGGCTTCCCGACGCTCCAAGACGGCCCAAGACGTCCCCCAGACCGCTCCAAGACGGCCGAAGAGGACCCCAAGAGAGCCCCAAGACGGGCCAAGAGGGCCCCAAGACGGCCCCAAGACGGCCCAGGACGGCCCCAGGACGGCCCAGGAGGCGCCCAAGACGGCCCAAGAGGCACCCAATACGGCCCCAGGAGCGGCCCAAGACGGCCCAACAGAGCCCCAGAGGCGCCGAAGCCGGCCTCAGACGGTCCCAAGACGGCCCAAGAGGCACCAAAGACGGCCCAAGAGGGCTCCAGAGCCCCCAAGGAGACCCAAAAGAAGCCCCTCGAAAGGGCCCCCACGAGGCCCTAAAGTGGCCCGCACCGTGAAAGGCGTGCTTTTCAGTAGCGCGGTGTATAAGGCGGATGGCATACGGCGCGAAGAAGGCGAGCACGGAAGGAGATCCTTCCAGCCCCAGAGCACAAATGGCAGCGGAGAGGGGGGACCATCACAGCAGGCAGAGATGAGAAGCAGGGCGTTGGACAAGGAGCTTCCGTTCGAGTCCTCCTCCTCCTCCACCTCCTCCTCGAGATCCTTTTCCTCCCCGCTCCCCCCTCCCCATCCACGCCGTCCTCGTCGTCTTCCACGCTGCCGTCCTCCTCCTGCCCCCCCTCGTCGATATTGCCGTCCTCCTCCTCCTCGTGCTTGCTCTCCTCGTCCTCTTCCTCCTCGTCCCTGTGCTTGTCCTTCCTCCTCACTGCAGTCCTCTTGGTCCTCCTCGCTTTCCCCTCGTCCTCCATGGTAGCTTCACCTCGTCCGTCTCCTTGCCGTCTCACTCTCCGCTCTCTTCCTCTTCGCCCTGCGAGCCGAGCGGGCAACAACGGCACCTCTCGTTCTTGCCTGCCCCGGTTCTCGAGCGTCCGGCTCTGGTCCTCTCGCCCCCTCTTCCCAGGGACCGCTCCTGGCACCCCCAGGTCATCAACGCCCACCCCGGAGAGGCCGAAAGTTCAGAAAAGCAGTAAGCTCCACGGTTTCGAGCCTCTGGAGGCCTGGGCGTGTTCGCGGCAACCCGGGCTCGAGCTGGGCAACTGTGGACCCCCAGAGGTCCGGGCCGCTTCTCCCCGCGGGCGGCTTCTCTCATCCCAGGCCGTTCCTGACGGAACCAGAGCGGGCAGTCCGTGGGAGCGGCAGCAGTGCAAAGGCTTGCGGCAGTCGCGCGAGAGCCGTCGATGGCATGCGCGCGCGGCGTGCACAGCGATGCGAGCACCCTCGGCAGCGTGCGCGAGGGACGCCAGCAACCTGCGCGAATGGCGTGACCCCCGGGGGCCGCGCAGATCAGAGAGGAGACGCAGGAGGAGGCGCAGGAGGAGGAGGAGGAGGAGGAGGAGGAGGAGGAGGAGGAGGAGGAGGAGAGGAGGAGCGGCGAGGAGGAGGCGCAGGAGGAGGCGCAGGAGGAGGAGGAGGAGAGGAGGAGGAGGACGACGACGAGGACGACGAGACGACGTGGACGAAAACGACGACGACGACGAAGACGAGGAGGAGGAGGAGGAGGAGGAGAAGGTGGAGGAAGAGGAGGAGGAGGAGGACGAGGAGGAGGAGGAGGAGGAGGAGGAGGAGGAGGAGGAGGCGGAGGAGGCGGAGAAGGAGCAGGAGGAGCAGGAGGAGCAGGAGGAGCAGGAGGAGCAGGAGGAGCAGGAGGAGCAGGAGGAGCAGGACGAGCAGGACGAGCAGGACGAGCAGGACGAGCAGGAGGAGCAGGAGGAGCAGGAGCCCAGGCAGGCCCCTCTGAGTGGCAACGGCACCTTTCCGCGATGCTTTCTCTTGATGACGCTGCAGGGGCGAGGCTTGGAGGCTGCGCCGCAGCAGCTTCTGCTCGAGCTGAGCCATGGCTCGCGGCCGCGCGAGGGCGCGGTAGCAGGCGCGCCTCAGAAGCAACGTGCGGGGGGGGGACTAGGCTCAGGGGGGGGGGGGCCCTGAGATCCAGGCGCTGCAGTTTCCCAAGACGGGCGTGTTCGACGGGGTTCTGGCCCCGAGACCATCGCAGGTCGATCGGGTTCGAACGCGGTTCCGCAGAAAGGTGGGGTGGACGGCCCCAGTCGCGATTTTTCGCGATGCTGCAATTTTTTCGCGACGTCGGATCTCAGGGGAGTGCCCCCGTCCCCCACCGCACATCTATCGCCGATTGGGGGCCCGACAGCCCCCTAAGATCCGACGTTGCGAAAAAATGACAACATCGCAAAGAAAAATAACGCCCAGAGCCCCGGAGCCATCTTTCTGCGTCATTTTTCGAGCCAGATCGACCTGTGAGGGCCCCAGGGCCTGAAATTGAGCGACAACGCCTCTTGCGAAACAGTTGCAGCGCCAGGATCTCGGGGGCGTGCGGCTTGGCCGTCGGGGGCCCATCGCCGACCGGTCGGCGATGTTCTTGCCGGCTCCAGGCCGTTGCTTCCCGCCCTGAGCCGGCCCCCTGACGGCTTTCGGGCCATGGCTCGGGACTTCCGTGGCCGTTCGGGACGAGCCGGGCACCTCCGGGGACGCTCCCTCGACGAGGCGCAGCCGCTGGAGAGCCTCCCGAGGCTGGGACGCCGCGGGAAGCCGACGGGTACGCCTGGAAACCTCCGCCATCCCAGCGCAACCCGCGTCTGCGTCCCCCCCCCCCCCCTCTGAGCTCGTCCCTCCCCCGTCGTTCCCCCACGGAGCTGGGCCCCTCGGTGGCGGCGGCGTCCATGCGGGGAGGCGTACGGCCCGAGCTCGCCAGAGCTCAGGTTTGCCGGCGCTTCTTGGCAGGCCCGCCCTGGATTTAGACGGTCCGCCTTTCCTGGGATGCTTCTCAGCGGGAGTGCTCGTCGAAGTTTCGATTCCAGAGTGTGCCTCGCCATTTGTCCGACTGCCCCAGCAAGCCAACCCGAGTCATCGAGAATAAGAGGCCCTGGCCCTGATAACACAATGAAGACGTAGCCTGACTTGCCTTCGCAGCATTCGGGATAATCCACCTGGATGGTTTGGTCCGATACACGCGCTAGAAAGACCCCCCATCCCTATTGTCTTGGGCCTCTTAACGCAGGTCCGCCCCCAAAGTGTTACGGACCCCGCAATTGCTAATCATGGCTGGACCTAAACGGTGGTTAGGCGATTTCGTGGGCCGTTTTCGTTTCGACTTCGCTTTGCGGTAAGGGCGGATTGAAGACAAAACGAGGGAAAACGAAAACAAAAAGAAAACGAAAAACACCGTTCAGGTTCAGCCCTGTTGCTAATCATCGAGTGCTCCAAGCTCGAGTCCTACGCGTCCCCGGCCCATGCGGCGGCACGTCAGGCTCGGCGCGGTCCTTTTGACCGCGCGCCTGCTCCGCTGCGCGAAGGGCGGCCCGGACCTGCCGCAGGAGGGGCGCGCGGGCGGCGACGAGTCAACCACCAGACCAAAAGCGTGTCGGGGATCGATGTCGTCTTTGTTGACCAGCCTGCAACGTATCCCCATCCCTGTGGAGGGCATCAGCTTCTCTCGGTACCGGTCTTAGGGATTGCCTCAGCTTCTGATGGGCGCACCCTTAAGATTGTTATCGCCTTTTGGCTTTGTCAATCTTAGGGCCAGGGATCAGTTCGAGGCTGGTTACTCGTCGATGTTGGCATCCAGAGAGGTCGCTTTCGGCCGAAGGAAAAATAGCATGAATATAAACGTTCGACGGTTCGCTTGGATTTCTTGGATCTGCGTTGGACCCCTCTAGCGTCGCCTCCGGCGCCGCCCCTGGCGCGCTGGGTTCATGTCATGCCGTGTCGATGCGGCGACGCACCCAGCGCAGGCGTTCAGTGTTGAACACCGCCATTGGCCCAGAATCGGCCAATATGGCACGACTTGACGATTGAAACGCCGCCGAGGAGGAGCGAAGAGGAGCGAAGAGCAGGAGGAGGAGGAGGAGGAGGAGGAGGAGGAGGAGGAGAAGGAGAAGGAGGTGGGGGAGGAGGAGGAGGAGGAGGAGGAGGAGGAGGAGCCCCACGGGCTGAGGAAAGCGGGGCCAGCCGTCGTCGTCGTCGGCCCGCCCTTTGCCCCTCGTGGCCGCGCGCCGCGGCGGTTGCGATAGGCAGCCGCTGCAGCCGCACGCCCGCGGAGGCGGCACCCCTCCGCGCGCCACCGAGCTGCTTGAGGCGGGGCCGAGGGCCCTAAGACGGCCCAAGAGGCCCCCGTCGGCCCCACCACGTGCGAGGAGGCGGCGAGCGCGGACGCCTGGCCACCGCCAGGCCGCGCTGGAGGCGGCCGCCACGCCGCGCACCGTCGGCGAGCCCGCCTGGCATCGCCGCGCCAGGCAGCAGCGTGCGGAGTCCAGCGTGCTGCTGAGGCTGCGCACCGCCGCGCAGGTGTTGGCCCAGCACCATTCCGCGCAGCGGCAGCAGCACCAGCAGGAGGACGCCGAAATGGCCAGCAGGACGTGGACAACTTGGCAAAAGGGCAGGTGGAAAGAGCAGCAGGATGCCCAGTGGAAGCAAAACGTGCCTTGGCGCCGGCACGATGAGAAGAGGACGTCCAGCAGGAAGAGAGGACCGCGCCCGCCAAGCGCCAGGAGGCGAAAACGAGATGACGACCACGGCGGAAGCAAGGAAGAGGGCGGAAGAGGAGGACGCGCTGGGGGCGGAACCCCCAGCTCCAGCGCCGCCAACCCCAAGGAGCTGAAGAAGATCCTCGAGCAGATCCCGATGGCGACGCCGTCGGCAGCAAGAGCCCACGAAACCTTCCAGGAACCGATGGAGGGCAAGCACATGGCGCTGCAGAAGCAGCAGATCGAGAAGAGGCTAGACGACCTCGGGCTGATCCTGATTGCGGCATAGTCCGCGCGCGAGGACGGAACGGACATCATCAAAGAATTTGCAGCCCTGAAGTTCGCTCTTGTGAATATGCACTTCGAACACAAGCGAAGGAAAGAGACAACGAGGGAAACAGAGCACATAAACATGCACATATACATTGCGCAGAAGAGTATGACAAAGTGGAGAACGGAGATCGACAAATGGCAGGATAGAAAGGCCCACGTGAGGAACGTTGTCAGCGAGCTCACGGACACGGGCGAGGGCGACACAGACGGCGACGACGAGGAGTATTACGACAAGCCGAGTAGGTCTAAAGGAAAGGAGGAATACCGTCGACGCCCGTCGCCTTACAGGAAAAGCCAAGAGGAATAAGTTGCGCCAGGATGGATGGCATCGTCGAGAGCTTGTCGAAGGTCACGCAGGCAATAGAGCTCCAGGCCAAAGCGCAGAACGACATGGAGCAGAGGATCAACGCCAATTTCAAGAGAAGCAGCCAAGGAAAAAGCCAGACGGAGGAAGCTGCGGCACGCGAGGAGGCCCTGAGACAAAGGAGTACAAAGCAGCGGCGGAGACGAGCAAGAGGACGTGGCAGGCAAAGGCCGATAAGACAGCAGCTGCAGTGGCAGAGAAAAGAGAGGCCAAGTTGAGGTTCGAATTCCAGGAGGCACACGAGGGACAAATAATAATGTTCCAGGAGGAACAGGTCCAATGCCAAAGACAAAGAGAGGAAATGA